ATGATTGATTTGACTACCTGAGTGTTGACGGAATGATCGATTAATTAATTGATTGATTTCATTGATTGATGATTGACTCACTTATTTGCTGTTTATCCATTTATGACTAATTAATTTTATTTAGTTACTCATTGTTTGTACATAACATTTAGTTATTTGTTATTTTAACTCTTTTATTTTTCAGTTCTTTCGTTTTTTTTTTTCGTTCATTCATTATCGCGCTGATTACCTCTTAGCGCAATTATTTATATAAACGGACTTACTGAACAATTCTATGATTTACTGACTTCCACAACAGAGTGAGCTTATTTCAAGTGCAATCAAGTTCACATGCACATGCAGTACATTGTATGAATGGCGCCTACATTTGAATAAGAATACTTTGTACATCCTTAGCCTCGAACTTATGTTTCCAGACAAATGATTTTTCACATGAATGTGAGGCTTAGGATGTATTGTTATTCAAATATCGACGCCATTTATACAAAGTGTATGTCTATTATTTGTTGTCTTAGCTTAAACACAAAGGAGAAAAAAATGCGTACAACTTTTTGGACATTTAGTTTCGCTGGGTTTGTTTACAGTCTTGTTTAATATTGACGAGCACGCAGAGTAAGGCGATGGCCAGTAACAGCGTGATGCTAAGAATAAGGCTTTTTTGGGAAAAAAAGGAGAAAAGAAACAAAAAAGGAAGAACAAAAGGGGCGTGGTCGAGGGAAATACTGGGACTAAATCTAACCTGTTTAACAGGTCTGCACTGAATATAAATATCATGGAATATTTGTACTGTTTTTAGAACTCGTTGGAATATTGATTACTCTCGAAACTCAAAAGGAGTCGATCTACCCAGTCGTTTGGCTGACTTGTTTAACTTGCTATTGATTTAATTGCTGGATATTAATAATATTACAAATAATCAAATCTTCCTGTCAGCAGTTCGTCTAAAATCTTCTTGACCTGTAAAGAGACAAAAATAAGACAGACATTTAGGTTCGGTTATAACAAATAGCACAATAATAGGTCAATCCCGAGTTGCCTTTCGCCTCTGTATGTGTCAGAACGAGTTTTCGCACGAAACCATTCGTATGTAATGTCTTCAGCCTACAGGCTCATTTTCATGCAAACTCATTTTCATATGAAAGGTTTTGCTCGCAGACTCGTTTTGAAACAAAGGCATAAGATAAGCTCGGAAATGGCTTATTACAAGTGTCCTCAGTTTTATCGACGAATGCAGTGCGTTAATGACCGTCCGCCCCTCTAGCTCTTGGAGGTGATTTATCAATAAACCGAGGTGCCTGCATTTAATAGGCAAACCGTAGAGTCAGTAAGTTTTGGTGGAAATAGAAAGTACTTTTTCCCTGTATGGAGATTGGAACTTTCTTCCTGCGCGGAAAATCTCCTTGTCTCTTTAGTGTTCTCTTTGCTCTCGAAAATCTGCTCTCTTTAAAAATATAAAACAAACAGCGGTGATAAACACTTTAAAAACATGAACTTGACGTTTAGTATGCTAGTCAACATACATTTTCAAAAGTATAACCGTTAAAATTTTTTGGAAAGTTATTTATACTGTATCAATGGGGGTCTGGAACCTAGACAGAAAAACATCTGCAGTATAAATTTAAGACGTTTCAAACGGAAACTGTCTGTAAAGTGAACAACGGAGAAGCTCTCCTGGTAAAGTAAAAGCTTTTCACTGCTGACATCGGCATTCAATGCTGGCTGCAACTCCTGCAGATGTTTTTCTGTTTACGATGGCCGAAGACCAAGATTTTATATGATTCTATTCTCTTTGTTTCTGTTTTGTTCTCTAAAATCTCTTTAATTTTCGAGGCAAGCGATTAAAAACTGTGAAACTGCATAACGGCCAAGGCAATTTCTGCATGGTTCTTCAGATAGTTTCCTTGATTAACCGCTCTTATAACAGCGACACAAGTAAAGAGTCCTTTTTGGATTTGTAACAATACAGTACACAGCTGAGCGAGCACCTTTACACTTTTACCCCGATTTTAGGTTTTCAGGTTGCCCCCTCTCTGGAAATTATGCCATACAACCACTTCTGGTCACTTCCACTGATCGGACGGACAATTTTGTTATCACCAGCGTTATATATAGCTACGAATCAAGACTATCTACCCCTGAGTCGAACACACGGCCGTTATATGTATTGTGAAGTCTACCAGCGCACTACACGATACTTAAAAGTAGGAAATTCGGCGCACTTCTAGAAAATTGCCGAAAGAAAACACGCTTGCTGATTGGTTAAAAATTGGTGTTTCTAAAACTTGATATAAACACAGAACTAGCACAAGCTGTTGACGTAATGATGGCGGAGCAAAGAGAATTTACATTTTGGTGTTCAAAGTAAACAGGCTGTTTTCTTTAGAAACAAAATCGATGTTCTCTGTGTTTCTTTCGAGTCATAGAAACACTCGTAGAGGTCTGGAAGAACTCGAAAAAGCTGTGAAAACACTCACCTGTTAGCTCATATTCCCAAAGCATTTCTAGTTCTCCCAAACTCCCACTTGTGTTTCTGTAGCTCGATAGAAACACAGTGCACGTTTTCTCTTTCTTAATTAAACAGCACACCCAAACAATCGCAGTCTTCTTATCGGGCTACACTGGTACCCAGTCTTCCCAAAGTTTGGTCAAGATAAAAGGCGTACAGCGTAACCGCATTACATCTACCAGTGGGCCTGGCTGAACTATCCTTCCCCTTCGTAAGAATTACAGAGCTTTCTTTTAGCCAGAAACTATTTGTTGACTAACTTTTTCGAGATTTAGAGTAGCACGAAAAAGTAACGTCTCCGTCTCTCTCAAAAGGGCCAGGTATTGCGCAGCGGAACGCTCGATGTCTGCTTCTTCGTCCTCCTGACTTTCTTCATTTATTGCCTCCGTTTCAACTTTCTCTCCCTCCTCGCTTATAACAACTTTAACTTGATCTTTTTCCTCTTCGTCATTGTGCTCGTTAGGTTGTTTTCCATCGCTACCCGTTAGTAAATCTTTCTTCACGGTTTGCTCGGATTCAACTAGAGGGTTGTTCTCGTACTCTTGTGGTTTTTCACTTTCAAGGCCTTTCTCCGTCAGGGCTTCAGCACTTTTATTGTCTGACTCTTCTGGATCTTTAACGACATCATTCATAGTCGTCGTGTTTTTTGGTTCAAACCAGAAATTTACTGATATAGTGTTGCTAAAAAGGGAATATAAATCGCCAAAAATCAGTACTCTAGTTGAATGAAATCCGCCCAGCGTGTGACTTTGTAAATGAATTAAGGCTACTAATCATGAGCTTTACTTCTATTAACTGAGCTGCTCTAAGTTTCAACCTTGTAGATACATCCCTAATATCTGACCATTGCTATGAGTATTATGTTGTAAGTACTGTATGTACTGGTGTTTCTGTATTACCTGTAGAACTTTGTGAATCACTGAAACTCTGGCGGGCGTCCATACACGTAAAACTAATGGAAATGGAAGCTTTACTTCTGTTTTTTTTTTTTTTTCTTCTACGTTTCAACCCACTAGCTACAACCCTACTTTCTGACCATTGAAATTAACATTATGTTGTAAGTACTGTATGTACTGGTGCTTCAGTTGTACCGGGGAATTCTAGCTTTAAAACTTTAAGGATTAAACTCTGGCGGCGTGTATCCATCCAAGTAAAGCTAATGAGCAGAGCTCTTATGCGGTACTGTCTGTTATCCGGCATGGTGGTTAACTTCTAAGACCGGTTTGTGATCCTTCAGTGAGAAGACGCCATTGAGAAACTGATGCCGCGGTACTGTTCATTATGCTATTCTAAGTTCAACCTTTGCAGATAAAACCCTAAAGCGAGACTGAATGTTAATAGCCTTAACTGTCAAGTGCTGCAGCTGTGAGTCTCAATTTTCGAGCCTTTAGCCACTTCACGAGTAGAAGGATTATGATTACCTGTGCATTTCACTTTCAATGTAATGCCACCAGTAATGTGGAATATAAAGCACTTCTCCAGGCTCCATAGCCACCTCCATTCCTCCTATCTCGCTAAACCTGGGAAACCTGTCTAGATCCGGGTTTTTGAAGTCCACCTTTAACAAGAAAGAAACAAGCAGAATGGCGTAGAAGTTACGAGATGCTTAAAGTAAACCTCTTAAGAGTGCCTGCCTGTAAAAATCAGACAAATTCTTAATTTCGCGGCAAGGGTCGAAAATTCGAT